TTGGCAGTGACAGAGTGAAGTACGATGAATCAAACAGGGGCTGAGGGGTCAACTCAGCCTTTCACATTTCAGACATAATTTTCAGACAAAAATATCCGCTGGAACAATGACAGCATCTCCGTTCGCTCCTCTGTTTATCCTGCTCCTTCCTGCCCCCGTGAATCTACGAAACGTATGTATTTTCTCTATCTCTGAAAAGAAAACTTTTCGTTCCAGAGAAACAAACCAGAGAACAATGAGAAAATGTGTGTGTGTGTGTGTGGCAGTGACTTTTATGAAAAGGAGAAACTCTCTGCGACTTTGGATCTGGTGTGTCACCAGCTCAGAAAACACTGAGGGGTCAAGTCCCAACACTCGGGCTTCTACTTCTCTCCCTCATAACTTCCCTCTGACTGAACAGATATACGAAAGAAGAAGAAAGAGTGAGTGCAAATTCGAAACTAACACGGCAGGTCCTGCGCCGCAGCATCACTGTCAGTCGTCACAGACTGATTTTCATTTTCATTTGACATCATTAACCAGAGACAATTTGGCGGCAGGACACAGTGACTGCTCCGGTCTACGGTTGTCTTTCATCTCCTTTCGAGATGAAAGGAGATGAAAGAAAACCGTGATCATAAAAAAAAATGAAGATGATACTTTTTTTTTGATCAAATTTCATTCTTAAATATACGGGGACGGCTCGGGTCTAGGGTTGTCTTTCATCTCCTTTCGAGATGAAAGGAGATGAAAGACAACCGTGATCATAAAAAAAAATGAAGATGATACTTTTTTTTTTGATCAAATTTCATTCTTAAATATAAACCGAGTTGTCGGTTAAGGTTAAGATTCAAATTTTACTTTTTAAGTCAAAGGTGACAGACGAGGCTGTGTGTGACTGATTCACTGTCATGCATCACTGTTAAAACTGATCACAACATTTCCAGATCAGAATCCTCCACACACTCGGACACACACTTCCTAATCAGATAGGAGGATTTTAAAATGTAAATTAAACTGTTGTAAATTGTTTTTAACTGTATCATGAAGCTTAATAATAAATAAAATTTCCTCTGGATTTATAAAAAAAATATATATACAATAATTGGAATTTAGCAATTATTTAAAAAATATTTTTCAGGGCTGAGTTTGTGAAGAAACGCATCATTACCTTTATCTTCTAAGAAATGTCCATTTGTTTTTTTCCCTTGTCATTTTAGATCAGAGCTTATCACTTATTCACACTCACTTTGACAAAATTAAAAAATAATAATAATAATCCCTGAATGGTGAAACAAAACCTGCATTTACGACACTGACGTACTGACAAACGTCCCCCTCTCTCCCCCCCAAAGAAGCTGTTTTAAATGGCAATATTATCATTTCTATCCCCTCTCGTTATCATAAAGTCTTAGTGCAGAACAGAGGTCGATTCATCACAATCATCATCACCATCATCATCATCATCAGAGAACAAAATGGCAGCAGCTTCTTCTTCCATCTCACAAGTTTATAGACACACTTGTGACTAAATGACACCAGTTTAACTTCATCCCACTTGTCCGCGCGCGCGCGCACACACGTACGATGATGGAGCGTGTGAAACAAAACTTTGTCTTTCTTCCTGACTCAAAACTCAGGTGAACTTTCGAAAACAAAAAAAAAAAAAAAACATTAAATCCATTTAAAAAAAACCCCCTCAAATTTCAAATTTAACACTGCTAACAAACTGTGCAGATTTGTTAACAATTACTGTGCGTTTTCGCCCCAGACCCAGCGTATGGAGCCCAGACCCCAACCTTTTTTTTTTTTTTTTTTTTTTTTTTAGTTTAGCCACTGGGTTATGTTTAACGAGCGTCGCCACCACTGCCGCTGCTGCTGGTAATTGCTCTGTTATTTTCTAATCATGGCAGGGGGAGACACGAGGAGCCCTCCCGCTGTGGCGAACCCGCACAAACAAGTGCAAACACGCACACTCACACGTACGGTCCCGCTCCTTACCTCTTACGGATTCCGGTGCGGTGCAGTGTGTAAACTCCTGCGCGTAAAACGGCGTATACGGAGAAAACAGACGTCGCTCGCGTTGCTCTCGTTGTCCGGCGTCTCCTCGTGTTTGTGTTGGATGTTCACGGATTTGAAAAATGTCTTTTGGGACGACTTTGAACAGCGTCAGCTGCTCTATGCCCAATGCGAAGCTGCCACTGAGCTCCGGTTTGAAACCGACAAACGCCGCTCCGCCACTTCGTCGCTGCGCTCCGTTTTTTTTTTTTTTTTTTTTTTTAAAGGCTTTTCTGTTATAAAAGTAAACGTTCAAACTGATGCAGCTCCTCAAATATCATCATCACCACCACCAACATCCTCTTCATCGTCAGCTGTCTGGCACCGGGGTTTCGCGGTGAGATACTCTCCAATATTCTCCGCGCTTCTTGCGGTATTTGCAGCTGAGGGGGGAAATTAAAAACTGGAGGAAAAAAAAAAGGAAAAGGCAGCGGAGGTAGCTCCTGCAGCCCCTGCAGCGGTGTGAACTGAACCTGCTGTTCGACCAAAATCTCCTTCACCCTGATCCAACTTTTTTTTATTACATCGCAGGTGATTTTAATTTTTTTTAAATCTCTTTAAGTCTTCTCTATTCTGCTTCAACAAAACTACTTTGTGACGGGCCTTCAACCTTCTCCCAAAAACAGTTTTCATTAAAAAACCAGCAACACTCTCTCACTCTCTCTCTCTCTCTCTCTCTCTCTCTCTTACACACATAGAGCAAACCGTCGCGGTCACACGCACGCACATGTTCACTCGCACACACGAACGGTCCTGGTTTATGGGGGGGAATGACTCCCCCCCCCCCCAAAAAAAAAAAAAAACCCAAAATCCAGCTAAAACAATTGAGCTCGAAACTCAGAAAAGTGAAAGAGCTTTACCTCGCGTGTCCGTGGATACCAACCGGGGTCTGTGCGTGCGTGCGTGCGTGCGTGCGTGCGCGTGGAAAGTCCAGGAGAAAAGAGTAATTGTGCGTCTTCCCCCTTTTCGTGCTGCGTCCCGAGCGCCACTCAGGGCTGGTTTAAAAACACAGATATGACGTCCATCCCAGCTGCACTCTAACCCTGTGTTTAATGTAAACGTATGTGTGTGTGTGTGTGTGTTTGTGTGTGTGCGCAGGAGAAAGAGAGAGAGAGAGAAAGAGCGAGAGAGAGAGAGAGTGCGCGTGAACGCGCACGCGTGTTGTTTGAGAGAAAGCGTGATAAGCTCAAACCGCTCCTCTTCTCCCTCCTTCTCTCCTCCCTCTCATCCGTTCTTCACTCTCTATCCCGCAGCGCAATAAAGAAATGATTTGATGGCAAATCAGCGGAGCGTCAATCTGAAAACGGCTTCTTTAAAAAAAAAAAAAAAAAGCAAAACAAGATTTTGAGGTTTCTTCCTCAAGTTCAAGTTGGCACAACTTTTACATTTTCCCAACGCGTCAAATCGACGCGTTTTGAGAGAAAACCTTAATTAAACTTGGGAGTAAAATGTAGGTGCGAGGCTCTTACCTCACAGGCCGAACTCCGCTGCCCCTTCTCCTCCTGCTGGCAGAAAGGTTTTCACATTTGAACTGCCTCTGCACAGAGGGCTGGGAAGTAAGAGGAGAATAAATAATGCAATTACAGAGCGAGGTTCAGTGTCCCGGCGCTGACAAAAGCGTGGAGCTTTAAATGGACCCTTTGTTACGGACGGGATTATTTCGTGATTACGGCAGATATAATGGAAACGGTTTGGTTCATAATTTGATTTATTTTATTTTTAAAAACTGCGAGGGTCCCGCGGTTCCTGTGATGAAAGTGATGAAGATGAGAAGGAGAGGGAAGCAGGAGTCAGAGGAGACGGCTCTGATTATTCAAAATGTCGAAGCGACGGAGATGTGACACTGACGGAGATATCACACACACGCACATACGCACATGCACACACACACACACACACACACACACTGGTAACCTTTCGGTTATGAAAGCCTGTTCCTAATGAGGAAGGAGCTAATTTTTGCGGATTAGGTTGAGATTAAAAATAAAAATGAGTTAAGGGAAATGGATTAAGTTTGGCTTGTTAGCGGAGAAATAATAACAATAAAGTGTATGAGTGCAAATGGATTTCCAAATGTTCAACATGGAAAAATAAATAATTTCCAAAGACATTCAATTAGAAATGAATAAGATAAAGAAAATAAGATAACACACCTGACAACAATTAATATGTTTTTTTTTTCTTTTATGTTTTTTGTAGAAGTGTCTTAGAAGAGGTTTCAGAAAGTCATAGATTTGGGATTAAGATCTGAGTTTTAGTATGGATTATATAAAGGACGGATTCAATGCAGCTCATGACAAGAATACAACTTTAATGTTACTGTTATCCATTATTATTATTTAAATAAATAGATAACAATAATAACATTAATACTGTGATTATTATCATAAATCTTTAAATGATTAGCAGCATTGCAATTTAGGTGATTTCTTTTTTTTAAAAAAAAGTTCAAATAAATTTAAAACTTTTGTCAAACTTGACAAAAGTTCGTCTCATAAAAGTCACAGAAAAAGAAGAGAGAAAAAGCACAGTCAGTACTTGGACCGTACCAGCGAGTTTCACCCGACCATCTTTTAACGGGATGACCTGTAATCTCGATCTGAATACAGAAAAAAGTCAGCCATTAATATGTTCTATACCTGGGCCAGACATGAAGATAGTTAGAATAAAGCAGTGTTTCCCAATCTTTTTTTCTGGGGACCCATATTTTAAAAGTGAAACCTTTACGAACCAAGTTAACAGACATTATTTGTAAACCCCTGGGAAATGATGCAAGACGACCCCCACAAAAAAATCTCTTGCGTCGCACCTGAGGGTCACCACCCAGTCTTTGAGAAACAGTGATATAAAGGGTTCTGGACTTGTTCTCGCCATGTCTAAGAACCAAACAACTTCCTCATTCCTGCCGTTCGTGTCTTCAACTGAACGTCAACTGACAATGCTTGATCCGTCTCCAGAACTTCTCAACTTCAGAAGACAGGAGGTCAAATATTCTCTATCAAATTTCTTCCTCAAAAGTGAATTTATGAAAGTTGTGACGATGGGTACGAGTGCTTCAAAGATCAGAAATGCACACGTATTTGTGAATCAGAAGGAAACAACGGACGACAGACCGATACACGGTTAGCCGGGACGGATGTCATTATTTCAGTACCGGTTGTTTGGGTCTGTTGAACATTTTGTTTTATTAGCTCAGGCGTGGGCAAACGTTTTGAGTTGCAGCCCACGATTGTCCTAAAATTGAACAGGGGTGCTGGGTCGGAAGCAGATAGTTGGAGCATTCTTAACTGAACTAAGATAAATCACATGTAAATGTCATGCACAAAGGCTAAATTGCTAAAATAATTGTATCATTTTTTACGCCATCTATTGGGGAAATGTGGGTATTGCATGGAAAAAGGCAGAAGTATAATAATAATATAAATAAACTATCAAATTTGGAAAAGTTTGGCGGGCCGGATTAAGAAGCTGAATGGGCCACATCCGGCCCCCAGGCCATAGTTTGCCCATGCCTGTATAAGGTCAATGTTTGAAAAAAAAAAATCAAACAGAGTGGGAAACATACATACATACAGTAGCACATTTAAAAATGGTTAGGTGTAGAAATGTCAAACTGCAATTTAAGGAACATATTTTGTTAAGTCAAAGAAAAACTACATACCTTTCACCTCTCGACTTGGTTGTTAATGTTAAGCTGTGACTCAACACAACTACTACTGTACTTCAAAAAGCACTGTGTGACATTAATAGGCAGTCTGAATATCTTTTATTTCCTCCTTGACACACACACACACACACACTTGTCTTTTTAAAGATAGTGCACATTCATTATTCACTATGAAAATCTGATTCTCATGCTGCTCTTTTAAACGTTTACACGCAGCTCACTTTGATGAATATAAATTTATTCTCTTTTTTTCTCGTTCTACTAAAGAAGAGAGAGAAAAAAAAATCTTCTCTTCTCTCTCACCGAAATTAGCATAAGCATTTTCCATCAATAATATTGCTATCTCTATGGCAGTGATAGCAGCAGGAGCAGTGGGGTGTTCCTTTCTCTGATTCTCCATGGATCAACGCCGCGTCATCGCCTCCTTTTACGCCCTCCCTGCAAAGTCAAGTGATTCTTTATCGCCTGACAGGCTTGACAATGTGTCGGCGATGGGAAAGCAGGTCAAAAGGAAGTTGCCATATGGACGTAAGCATGCAAATGTACCACAATAAACAGCACTGGGGGGTCCAGGGTGGAGGGTGGGGGCCGTCATGGTCTCAGGAAAATCATCATTGCCATGGATCATATATGACAAGAAAGAACTATGTGTCAGAACATGTTCAAGGAAATAAAACCGTCCGAAGAAGAGGGAGTAAATACTCACGTAATAAATAATTGAAGCTATTTTTTTATATTAATATTGCAACAATTGGAATTACAAGGCACATTTTGCCATGTGGGCTAACATTTAGATGTGGGGGTTGCCAAATGTGCCATTTTTGCTTCATATTTATTTAACTTGGTATGGTTTTTTTTAAGTGATTAACTGGACGGTTCATCGGAAATGAAAATAAGATACAGTATCAGTTCTAAACTAAAAGCAAGAACTAAAAGTAAGACATTTGAATTCTAGTGTTTTTTTTTCAATGTCAGAAACAAAGTTTTGTAAAACATATGAGTTCCAGTTAAGCAACAGAAATAATCTGAAACCTTAGTTGTTGTTGGCAACAGAAATAATCTGAAACCTTAGTTTTGTTTTTGTTTTTTTACACTTTCTTTGTAATATAATTAATGTCACCTAAATGAATGCCTAATCTGTGTTAGAATTTGGGATTTCAAAGTTCTAGTTATTTCAGGATTGTTGCTGATGGAAAGTGTAAACACAGACAGCAAGAGTGTTTAATGGTGATGTATTTTTTTTTAGCTCATCAACAGGTGCAGCAGCAGCGTCACATTAATCCTCGCCTCCTCTGGGAACTGTTTTACTTCTCCATCTGCATTAATGCTCGTAAATCCTGATGACTCCTTCCACATTGGCTCTGATTCCACTGCAGTCAATTAATTACAATCAAATTCCCACCGTTTTTTATTTATTTCTTTTACATTTTTCCACACAAAATCACAGAACGGAGAAGCTCATGATTTCTAATGCACACACCATTTAATCACAGAACGGAGAAGCTCATGATTTTTAATGCACACACCATTTTTTTTGTTCTTTCTTTTGTTAGGCAAATTTGATGTAAAATGAAGAGACCAGTGCATCGGGTAGTAGACAGTGATGGTCGCTGACCTGTGAAACTGAGGAGCTCATTTCAAGCTTTCTGTTGTTTAAGTTTAAAAGTGAAAAGGCATTTTTTAAAAAACTGTCCAAGTGGTGCCCTAAAAGGCTTGTAGAAGCCTAGCTTAGTGTGGTAATGTACCTTAAACAGGGGTCATCAACATGTTGGTAGTGCAGGGGGGCACCTAGTAGCCTCCGTCGATTACCTAAGGTGCCCGCGGGGTATGTTCTAAAAATAAAAATAGCCAAGAGAGGGTCAAACATTGTACTGTACTACTGTACTGTACTACTATTGTATGTTCCAGAACTGATTATTATTATTACATTGTTCAGGAAGTCTGTATCAAACAAGTAGCTCTTCGTATCAACTATGAAGCTCTCAGTGACCCCTGACCTAAAGTATCCATTCATCCATTTTCAGCCGCTTATCCGTTACCGGGTCGCGGGGGCAGCAGTCTCCACCCAAATCACACTGCACCGTACCAACCCCCCAAACCTTCCTGCAGGTGGTGAGTCCACTGAAAGGTATTAACCGCCCTAACCGGGGTTCGAACTTGCCCAGGAGGTGAATCCTGGGGTTCCACCCCAATGACGGAGACCTTGCCTCTGGGCCAAAGCGCCACGACCTAAAGTATGTTTAATGTTAAAATAAGGATATATATATATATATTCATGACATTTTAGAGGAGCAATTGCAACTAGAACAAAAAGTTCTGAATCTTGCAGTCTTTTGGTAATACGCTCAAAGTTAAACCACGATATGACCAAAGGGTACCAACTGAAATAATAATTAACTTTTACCACATTTATGAAGGTAAAGATAAAACAAGACTAAAGACTATCACAACCACCCAGACCAGGACACTTCTCAAGTAAACCCCAGATTTGGAATGTTTTGGTTTGGATTATGATATTTCTATTTTCAACAAAGGTCTGTGTTAGTCCTACAGTTATAGGGGTATGAATCGGTGGAGGGATGGTGAAAGGTTTTTGGGGCGTTTGGCCAGCAGTCCTCGGAGGGTCATCACTGCCTTATTACTGCCATGTTAGTGACTGGAGCAGCTGAAGATGGCTCTGTTCCCTGGCCTTCTGTTTGGGACTCATCCAAGACAGAGTTGTCCAAAAAAACAGAGCAGCTAGTGTTCAGTTCTCACTCAAATTAAGACCTTATTCTGCTGCTGCAGTTGAGTCTGACCTGGGAACTAAAACCACATGGCTAAGTCTTATTGAACTGTAAAAAATGTTGTGATTGATATGTTTCATTTTGATGAGGAATGAAAAGACCAAATGTAGACTCAAGGCATATAAAAGAAAAAATGAATCACCAATTGTCAAGGCAGAAACAAACTAGGTAAAAAACTTTCTAGAATTGAGACCAAGAAAAGCTTGTTCTAGACATTTAGGAAGCAAGATAGATATAGGAAAGACCTGTTACAAGTTAAGATAAAACCAAAGGAATGTAGGCTACCACGGCTTGAATTATGAACATGATCTTGATAAAACGAGACTAAACGTCTCGTAAGAAAAACATGACCTATGAACTAATGGACCAAGAACTTAAAAAACTTAAAACAATACAAGTATAATGAGATGAATCCAAGGTCTCCTGAGACCACAAGAAAATACCTCAACATCTTGTCAGAGAGATAGGGAATACATCTTTGGGTGGATATCAAGGCAAAATCCAGGAAAGGAAAAGACATAAACAAGACCTAGGCATTATTATGTGTGACAAAACTAGGAACGTACCGGAACGTAGGCAGACCATGAGTGGATAAAGATGATGAAAACTGTACAATTTCAAGGGTCTGCGCTCTGCTCTGGACTAGACCATTCTGGGGTCTAGGCTGGTCCCTGGTCTGGTCTGCTTAAAGCCAAGGTTTCCAAAGTGAGGACCCAATGCCCAATGCTCTAAATGGTCGAC